AGCTAAGGAAAATATCTGACAGACTGGCAGGCAATGATAGTGACGATCAGGGCTACTTTCGGGACAGGATGGGTCTACTGCGCAAAGGAGGAACCGGACAGGAGGTGGGCAGAACACGGGAACGAACTGTAATTCCAAAGAGCCTGGTCGAGAAGGTACTGTATGCCTATCACAACGCCCCTTATTCGGGGCACTTCGGCTTCAAAAAGACTCTCAGAAAAATCACGGCGAAATATGTGTGGAGAGGGATGCACCGCGACGTGAAGAGCTATTGCGCTTCCTGTGAGTCGTGCCAGCTGCGAAAGTCGGGTCAGAGACGACGAGCGCCCCTGGAGCTTTTCGGTGAGGTCAATGAGCCTTTTGAGAGAACGGCCCTCGACGTAGTTGGCCCGCTGCCCATCACCACTGAGGGAAATAAGTACGTCCTGGTATTCGTGGATCATTTTACTAAATTTGCGGAAGCCTTGCCTTTGAGAGATCAGAAGGCGGAGACTGTGGCCCGGGCATTTGTGGAGCGGATTGTTCTAAGGCACGGTGTACCTCAGCAGCTTCTAACAGATCAGGGCACGAATTTTGTTTCCGGTCTAATGAAAGAGACGTGCAGACTGCTCGGTATTAAGAAGCTCACAACTACAGCTTACCACCCCGAATCGAACGGGGCGGTGGAGAGACTAAACAAAACCATCAAGGGACTGCTCTCCCATCTCGTCGCACGAGACCAGAGGGATTGGGATCTGTGGATGCCCTACGTGTTGTTTTCATATAACACTGCAGTTCACGAAAGCACCGAAGAGACACCCTTCTATCTGTGCCATGGGAGAGACCCGGGGCTTCCTCACGAGATCCTTGACGCTCCAAGTGTCCCTAAGTATGCCTGTTTGGAGGACTATCGAGCAGAATTGACACTGAGAATGAGGGCGGCTCACGAGGTCACGGGGGAGGCTCTGCGAAAGTCTCAGGCTTGCAGAAAGACCCAGTACGACCGGAAGACGAAAAGCCCAGAATTTCGGGAGGGCGACCGAGTGTATGTAGACGTCCGTTACCCGGGGAAAGGGCTATCACAAAAACTAGGCCAGAAGTGGAAAGGCCCATACCGGATCACTAGACTGGTAACGCCGGTAGTGGCTCAGGTAAAGGAGATAAAAAGGGGGTCGGTTACCACAGTGCATGTCAACCGCTTGAAAAGGGCGGCACCCGAGGGGCCCTGTCCCACCAAGGACGGGAGCGCCTCTCTGGTGCAGGCTGATGCGACAGAACCTCTGGCGGTACCAGAAACCAGTAGAATAGATGAGAACGATGCTGCAGTAATGTGGGAGGCAGCTGAGCACTGGGAGCGCCGAGAATTGCCGCCCGACAGTGCGCATTCGGGACAAGCAGCCGCGTCGACCCCACCTGCGCAGTTTACACCTTCTCCAAGCGCTGTAATTGAGATTGACGAGAGAGTTTGGGGAATGTCGTATGCACCTCCGAGTAGCGAAGGAACCTAGGAAAGGCAGGAACTAGGTCATGTGGAAAATGAAACTGTATTGTGTCTCTATTTTCGTTCAGGTGTGTGTGCGCGTGCAAAAGGGGGGGGGGGGGGGGGGGTCATAGAAGGATCGCCTGTCGCTCATCCCCTCCCAAATGTTGGCTAACGTCGTAGGTACCTCGTTTGGAGCGAAAAAGGCTGGACTGTGTTGTTGTCGGGGAGCTTAGGAGTGGGCTTTTGTGGTGCGAAGCATGACGATCAAACATTGAGAGCAAGGTGTCAGTGCTGTGTCGCGGGAACGTGCATACCGGTCGAACGTTAAGACCAGTGCATGAAGGTGAACGTGCTGTGTCTCGTGATTTTCTAGCACAGGACAAAACTGACTCACTAATCTCGAAAAAAAAAATATGGGCGAGTGTAAGGAGCCGCATCGCGGGGGTGCGGGCCGATGGCGGCGCGGGGTCGACCTTGAGAACAGGTCTCGGCGGGTTGAAGTAGCGAAATGTGTCGTCACGGGTAAAACGCGGTGACGTCATCAGGGTCACCGGTGGAGAGGGCCTCGGCGGAAACAGGGCGAGAGTGAGCGTGACCGCGGCAGGCGGGGGCAAGGGAAAAAAGGGAAAACGGACGGGTGGCACGCGGAAGGGGCACTTGGTCCCGAGCACGAACGGACGAGCCACCCCCAAAAAGACGCTGCCTGCCTTGGACGGCGGGTGCCCGGGAACGCTACCAGCGAGCTGCTCGACAGCCGCCGCCAGCCCGTGACATGCCCGAGAGCTGCCAGCCCTGGACCTGCCCATGACAGACGAGAACGGCGCAGCCCTGGACCTCCCCATGACAGACGAGAACGACGCAGCCCTGGACCTCCCCATGACAGACGAGAACGACACAGCCCGTCGACCTGTGCAACAACCCCCTCAGTAAGCGACCCGACGACGGCGACCAGTTCAGCCAGCAGTATTAAATTCTTAAAAGTGTTTCCTGTCTCCTGCTTGCTCTCCACCGAGGGAGGAACCCCGTCAACTGAGTTTCGCATCGAAACTTTACAGCTCTATACGCCGCGCACCCAGCGACGTACTCGGGGGGCCCTCGCCGTGCGTTCGCTTGTCCGTACTCGTACCTAGGCTTCTCGCTTTCGTGCTGGGGTTCAGTCCCAGACACGAAGCTTTGGGGCTTCCGGCGCCGGCCACGCCGTCCGAACACGCGTGTGTTGGGCTGTCAACGTTTGCTTTTTTGTGTTTTCTTTCCTCAGTCGCGTAAAATGCGAATTTTTAAGCTACGACAATGTCATTTACTATATTAGTTCGCCGAGGTGGCGCATCTAATTTGTAAAAATAAAAAAAAAAAAAAAAAAAAAAACTTGCCGCACTCAAAAGTAAAAAACAACAACAAAAGAAACAAACAAACATGATTGGAGTTAGGTTGCGGTTGTAGTTTACATGACCACCATTCCCTATGCAACGGAGCGTGAATGCTCCATGTTCAACACTGCATTTGACAATGACTGCTTTATTGATCTGGATACTTTTATGATGTTTACCTTTTGTGTGCGACATGCCACTTAGTAATGCGAAGTTCATTGCTATGTGGACTGCATGTTTTTACTTACATCTTCACTGGGGTTCGGCTGGAATCATCCTTTTCACTAATTTAATGCAGGACGTATATCGACAACCCACAAATGTTGCCTCCTTTCTCTATATGAGATAAATAAAACAGTTGATTTTGAATCCCCCAATCAAGGTCGTACGTGCCGATTTCCGAACTAAACAAGCTTCTTTTCTTTCAGCAGACGCGTCGTTTAGTGAAGACTTTGAAGACGACGGCAAATGGAGCCTTAGCCCATATGCACATGACCCGCTGCCACCTGCTGACGAACTTCGCAGGGAAAGTGCTTCTCTCTAACACCCTAAAGGGGTGTCCAAACAGGACACTACAAAACCCGCGACTCCGACAAATCGTGAAAATTGAAGCGGACGCTTCTATTTTTACGGTCTGTCGGAGTCGTGAAAATGTTTGCAGGAGTCGTGAAAATTTTTACGATCACGACTGCTCTCCTCTTCAGATTGACGTCACACGCCACCTGCGTCTGGCTCACCTCGCCAACGCCCTCGCGTACCGCCGTCGCCTCGGCTCGAAGGCCAAGGAGGTCCGGCTTTGGGTGGATTTGGGACATTCCTGCGTCGAAGGGTGCGTTTCGCCCGCCTCGGATCTGCTTTCTTTGTCGAGATTCACTTTCGTCGTGATGGCGTCCAATGCGGTTCCGTATTGTGAGCGGAGGCCTTGAGCAATTGACCGACAGCCAACAGAGCGTGTGAGTGGCTCTCCGGATTCACGTGATAAGCAGAGCAAGGCCGCCGTGGAGGAAGCGAGGGGGAGATTTGACGGAGGGAAGTTTCCCCCCGGGAAGAATTGACGGAGGGAAATTTCCCTCCGACGGCCGGAAGCGGATCGCGGCAGAGCGCGGCACGATTTGCCGGAGTCGCGGGTTTTGTAGTGTCCTGTTTGGACACCCCTTTATGCGCGCGAGTGCGCACCGAGTTGCTCGCTAAAACGAGCCTCGGTGTCCTCACAAGCAAATAAACACAAGGTTATACCGAAGCAAAGCGGGCTACAGATAAAATCAACGACTCAACCCGCCAATCACCAGCCGAAGTAGTGGCGGTAGCGCCTCAAAGAAGCGCACTTTACGCTGCTCGACTGCGCAACGGGTAAGCCCCTCCGGACCGGGGAAACAAAAAGAGAGCGACCATGACGTCACGGCCCAAGGTTGCTTTAGCGATCGGTGATCCGCTGGAGGCCCGCTAAGGAGCGGCTGCTCGCAACGGGTCGCATTTTTATCATCGGCATTAGTTGGGAATGCCACGTCCCCTTGACGTAATATTTTGGCTGGGGTCGTATCTTGTGTCACTAAGGCGGTAGCAATAATTTATTTCCTTTTGAATTTTCGCCGCAGTAGCCCTTTAAATCTGACTGTAGTCGGTAGAAACCAACCACAACAGTTATATATATATTTTTTTTTAATGCGCGATAAGGCCAGATTACATTCCAGATTGTTCCGGTGCCCAACCACCCAAGGGCATCTGGGGGCATGAATAAAGTACTGGAGATTATTTCGGACTACTTGGCCATCTGTAACTTACAACGGAAAGACCAGTTCAACGGCCGAGCCCTCGGCAACAATATTACTCAGATGGGGGGAACCCTTGACAGATGTGTGACCATCGCCATAGTATCTGAACGCAGGCAATTTATCTAAAAAAAAGTGGTCCGGCACTTATGGAAACAGATACCTGTATTAAAGCTCTATCACAAAACTATGGCACATTAACATTGTGTGCTTCTTGCACTAATTTGAAATTGGGCGGTGTGCGAACTCAGCAATGGCGAAGGAGCTGCTTGCGAATCGACAATGTTTGGTATAGTGATCGGATTAGAGTATCCGTCTTTGACTGTGATTGTTTACGTTATGATCACGTGCTTATTAACAATACACCTAGCTTATCCAGAACACGAATTGTCAAGAACTTACTTCCATTCGTCTGTTGTGCCACAGCTTGATGGGCCAGGAATGCGGCCAACACCATATTATAAGCTGCCATCTGAAACAAATAGTACATCATAAAATACAGCTGTAACTTTCTCTACCACTTTAAAAAGTGCCTTTTCAGGTAGTTTTGTTGTGAACGAGATATTCTGATTACTACCCTATATGAGCTATTTAGTAAATCATCCTATTTTGCAGTGATAATCTACATAGCATATTCCACAACAATACTACGTGTCATTTGGTGAAAGTGAGACCTGGCAGTCTCTGATGTGCTGCACTGAAAAAAAGCTGCCGATAATGATATTCTCAATTCCGGCAATAAGAAACGGAAGAATGCAAGCCCAATTCGGTTTCCCTTTTGAAGAATAAGCCGCAGACGGGAAAGGAACGGCGGACTGAAACGAAGAAATATTAGAGCAGTGGGTCTCTTCAAGGGGATGGTACTCGACTAAGTATAGGTACTACAATTGCTTGTACGGCAGTTGATACGCAAACTGTTTGCTTAAAAAGAGCAGCCTGTTTTTGCCCCTTAATATTAAAACATAATTAACGCGGAGACCTTTGATTTCGTCTTAAATTATACCAACTGCCGTAGAGAGGTTAATGACTTAGAAGATGCGCCGCCACTAGCACGCGCTTTTGCCCTCCATCGGGTTTTGGCTAAGCGTGCGACCTAGTGTTATGTATTGAAGAAAGCTCCATCTTGAGCAAGCCTGCCACCGACTATAGGTTTTAAAATTGGATTTAATCTCAAAATTATTTCTACCTAATACAAAAAAATAAAAGCGGTTCCTAAAATGTATCCGCCCACAGAAGTTGGTGCCATCGCGTGCTTGCGCCATATATTAGAGTGTTATGGCAACACACACATAGGAGCCCTTGTACTCAATATAAAGATATGAGAAAACACCTTAACATCACACTTTCCAAAATTTGCCATGCGACTGCTCTAATATATGACATGCCACATTGCTTTGTGACAAAATTTCAAGATAATAATGTATGAACAGCAGAATCTTCAACCAAAAAGTCTTTTTGAGGTATTGCTACCACGTATAGTATCTTAGTTAACGAAGTGCACTATGTGTTCTTACACGAAGGCACTCGTATAATTTTGCGTTTTAAGTACAATCGTTAACCAATATATGTCGAACATTGTGGTTCCTAAAATGTTTCTTTGCATGCATGAAATATTTTTGGAGACACCTTTCTCAATTTTTCTTTTTTTTAAATGGCCAAGTTTATTGCATGAAAATTGAAGATGCAATGAAACAAAACATTTTATAGTTAAACGTGAGCGCGTTGGTTTTGATGACTTGTTACAGAAAGAAAAACAGAAAGGACGGACAAGGACGGACATCTTTCGACTTTCAACAACATGTAGCGTTCTTTATTAGAAGTTGGCATCGAGATCGGTGAACCTAGAGAAAAAAGGGGGGAAGGAAAGGACAAGTGACAGAAGGGAGGGAGAGGGAAGAGGGAAAGGAGTAAAAGGGGGGAAGGAAAGAAAAAGCGAAACAAGGGAGGGAGAGGGGGAGAGAGAATCGGGGCAGCGGAGGAGCGAGGAATTGTTAGCCCAGTGGGACAAGAAGGGGGGTCGGCATGAGAAAGTCGGGAAGTTGTTAGCCCGTTAAGATTAGGAGGAGGGGAAGGAGAAGAGGGGTCATCTCGAGACACAGAGCGGCGCCGCATCACCGCACTGTCAGGGAGCAAGGGCCCCCCGGGCCCGCGTCAAGGCCGCAAGTTGGGGGCGCAAATTTTCTTCTGAACTGTTTTTGCCCAGAAGAATGACTAACTTGCAAAATACGCTTAGTTTTAATCAAAGTTATTCACTTGGGTTTTTTAGACTAATTTGCCAAACCAGGTGCTTTCGTGCTGACGTAAAAGTGACTCTCAAGTGGATTCTGACATCGTGTATCTATGGTGATAACTCAGTTTACGGGCTCTAAACTTAAAAAAACAACCGAAATTACACTCATGGGAGGCCGATTTCCCTATTAGAACTCCAACCAGAGATCATGACATGCGCTTATTTTTGCGGTTTTGCGCAGACACCAACTGTTTCAAGGCTGCCGACGGATAACGTTGAAATAATTTATGTATTGCGTCTTCTAGACCCAAATATTGCACTTTTCTATAATATAATGCGTAGCGCACCTAAAGGTGCTAGAATAGTACATTGAAAATATTACGTAAATAAATATTTTCATTGGTCAAAATTTGTGGAGGTGGTAGGGACCCGAGGGTGGCCTCAACAAGAAAAAATAGTGTCCGTGTATCTCCATAGCTGTGAGCTTACAAGGATACCTTGCGCTCTAGAACTGGTCATTTTTATTGACTGAAGCCCAACAAACAATATGCCATCAAAGCCAAGCTTCTACAAAAAGTCCTTGAGTGCCCATTTAAGAATCATTTCCAATAAGAAGCTATTTATATTAATAAACGAGCAAACAAAAAAGTTTCCAGGTTACGTAGAGATACTTTCTGACGACACAAAATGGTTTTCTACATATTTAACTCTTCTGTTCAAAACAAAGTTTTCTTTTCGTATAGAATAAGCAAATTTCTTTGTATGTTAGAGGCTGCTGATCGTTCTTGGAAATTTATTATTTATACGTAAAGATATATAAGTTCAACCATATAATTCAATATGTATAAATTAAATATATTATCCTTATTACCACGCACGCTAGCTAGAACAAAGAGATGACGAGAAATGGTTGTTCAAGGAGTTAACCCAGGTAGCACGCCAGAGAAATGACCAACTTGAGCAAAGGTCTGGCAAACGTAAGGGCCCAAATTGGGCCCAGCTAGGTTTTGCACCATGCCGTTCATCAGTGCCAAACTATGTTGCCCAAGTTGGGAAAAACTAGGGCATGAAAAATTTTGGCTCTTCTCTGGCCCGCTACAGGGGTGCCGAAGTAGTGCCATACTAGAGCCATAACTGCCAGAGCAACGCCTAATTTGGGTATATCGGATAAGGCAACGTTTGGTGTTTTGCTTATCCACTACAGTTGTCCCAAAGTAAGTGCCAGACTTGAGCCCTATCTGCCGAACTAAATCCTGAATTAAAAATTCGGGGCAAGCCGAGGTTTCGCTCTTCCCTGGCTAGCCACTGGAGTGCCAAAAAGAGACAAAAGTGCCAAAGAAATTCTAGAGGCCTGCTGAAGATTGTAATTTCTTTGGTGTGTCACAGAAGTGCTCTTTCGAGCGCTCCAGAGGAGAATTCAAATTAAATAGGCGAAGGAAGCACGCTGGTCAGATCTCACCATCTGCTTGCCCAAGCAGCACGGCGATACGTGGCAGCGTAGTACTAGTACCGGAAGAAAGTTGGTTCCAACATCTCTCAAATGTCTAGTTTTGCACCACCGTTCCATATCCGGCAGCTACTGCCCTACATTTGTTTTGCCCCGGTCTAGAGTTCGCGCAATATCATGCGAATACTCTACGATGCATCTGGACTGTATTGGCCAGACGTCGCGCAAGTTTGCTTTCTATAGGACATCGCATATGATTTGTCGCATATCAATAACGTACGCGGAAGAAGGAATTTTTTTTCGAACGCTCCCAGTAGTTTATCAAATCATTGTTATTACACACAGCTTAATCTCGACATATTTAAAGGCCATACTTCTGTGTAAAATGAAAGGTAAATTATAAAATACAATCAACACCCATTAATTCCCAGGAAAACTTATAAATTAAAGCACAGAGAACCGCGAGAATTGAGAGGAAAACAGAACTATCAGAAGCGTGCTTGCAGTGTACTTACTAATAAAAAACGATATCTGGTAATCCTTGGTAGATGCATAATCCGACTCGGGCAGCCCAAAAACACAGTCGAGAAAGAAGGTTCCGCACATTCAGCTGACGTCTTGTCGTCGGCGAGGAGCATTTTTTTTTTTTTTTTGTCGAAGCGCGTCCAACAAACACAACTCAAGAATTCCACGGACTCCGGCGAAGGCAAGCATTCCACGCACTCCTCCCCGACCTGTCTTACCCTCGCCCTTCGTTCTTAGGTTGCAACGGACTATACGCCTCGCAAGTGGGCTCATTTTCGTCTTCTGCGCATGAGAAAGGAAGTAGCGGTGACGTCACAACGCCGAGCCCTGATTGGCTGATCACGACCCCCTATCTGAGCGTCGTCTGCTCCTTTGCAACGTCGTCTGCTCGCAACGTCGTCTGCGTCTGTCTTACCTTTCCTGCGACTTTCGGAAATTGAGCGAGCTCGACTTCGCCTTTCAGAGAGGGCAGACGAAATAACTCGAACGGTACGTTGTTTTTCTCTAACAACTAGCAGACACGCATAAAGGGGGGAAGTCAAAGGACTCACTGGCGAGGTGTCCCGAGGCGCCGAGGTTTGTTTGCTAAGAACCGAAAGTGAGCGTGTCAGTGTCCGCAAGTTCCTTCCCAAATACTTGTTCCCTCCTTTCGTGTGCGGCGAAACCCCTCACTCTTTAACGGCGTCGGCGGGTTGGCGCAGTTAACGTCGTCTGCTTTACGTCTGCTAGTCAAAGCGATGGCTGCTTTACCTTTCCTGCGTCTGTCGGAGATTCACCGCTTTTTCACCGGCGAGAGGCACCGTTGCCTCGGGAAAGAAGGAGATAACAAGAGGAAGAAATTGACCTTTTAATCTGAAATTGAGGTCAACGATCAAAGTATAATACGGGAAGGGTTCACAAGGGTCGCGCGGGCATATTCCATTCAGCACGCCAGCCGGCCGTGGGCAGACGGTCGCCGAGTCGCGGAGTGCCTGCTAGGCCTAACTGCGGAGCTCGCTTGGTCGCGTTCGGTGGAATCGTTGCCACTGGAGCTTTTTCCGGGCGTTTGTGGATCCAGCGTTCTTGTTCGTCGCGGTCTGTTGCAAGTGCTTTTTACTTTTTTCCTGCTGCTTGAAGTCGGGACGTGTGAGAAGCGCACGTAGAAAAATAAACGTCCGTGGGTCGACTCGACCGCGAAACTATCGGCCATGCTGATTTGATCGTAAGAAGTGCGTAAGACAGCTTCGGAGCTGTCGTAGGATTTCGTCGTAACCTGCGCAAAACTTACGAA